GTTATACTTGCAAAGTCTTATCCCTTCCACGCAATTTTGCAATCACGTTTATTGCTGATAATTTCCAGAATAATGACTCTTAAACGTCGATTCAAATGAATATAGTATTTACAAACGAATTGCAAACGATTACAATAAAAAAAATCATTTAAGAGTGATTAGAAAAAAAAATGCGGCTAACTACATGGGTTATAAGTTTTTTATTTTTTATAAAAAAAAATATCTACTCTTAAACATTATGACCTGTTTTACAATCACCTGCGAACGATTTACAATCGATTGTATGAGTTCGTTTTTGTAACTGTTGATAATTTGCGGCTAATTACCTACTGCTGTCATACCAGAGATTATAGGGGAGATTGCTAACAGAGATTATAGGGGAGATTGCTAACGCCAATGGCGAAGCTTCAACCGCGAAAATGTCTGGCCGCCCGAGCCGAACTAATTTTGCGGGTGTACCTGTTAATCAAACAAGTCGCGAGGGCAAGAGTGTCGGTAATTTTCGGAGGGCGTGGGTACAGGTAAGGCAGAGCGCGAGCCCGAGAGTGTCGATAATTCGGAAAGATCAGCAAACGCCAGAGTGTCGATAATTCGAGGAAATCGTGACGAAAGAAAACATCCCATATAGAGCGGAGTGGGGGTATGATGGAAAAACAATGGATGGACGGAATGAAAAAAATGAATTCACTTTTGTAAATTCGAAAAATAATTAAACAAATTGGGGGAAAATGGTCTTGCGAATATATACTCAAACGAGTGGGAATTAGCTGAATCGTCGAGATTTACTGATCCCTCAGAACCTTTTTTTTTCCACTGTTCCTTTTTTGTTAACAAATTCAAAAATGATTAAACAAATTGATGAAAAATGGTCTCGCAAATGTATACTCAAACGATTGAGAATCGTATGAAACGTGGAGATTCATGGGTCCCTCGGAACTTTTTTTTTTAATCGATATCTTTTTTGTTAACAAATTCTAAAGTGATTAAACAAATTGGGAAAAAATTGTCTCGCAAATATATATTCAAACGATTGAGAATCGCTTGAAACGTCGAGATTTATGGGGCCCTCGGAACTTTTTTTTTTAACGATAGCTTTTTTGTTAACAAATTCTAAAATGATTAAACAAATTGGGAGAAAATTGTCTCGCAAATATATATTCAAACGATTGGGAATCGCTTGAAACGTCGAGATTTATGGGGTCCTCGGAACTTTTTTTTTTTAACGATCGCTTTTTTGTTAACAAATTCTAAAATGATTAAACAAATTGGGGAAAAATTGTCTCGCAAATGTATACTCAAACGATTGAGAATCGTCTGAAACGTGAGGATTTATCAGTCCCTCGGAACCTTTTTTTTCAACGGCTCTATTTTTCCCCAATTTGTTTAATCATTTTAGAATTTGTTAACAAAAAAGATATCGATAAAAAAAAAAGTTCCGAGGGACCCATAAATCTCCACGTTTCAGACGATTCTCAATCGTTTGACTCTACATTTGCGGGCCCCAGGTAGTTAATTCCACATAGGTAAAAATTGATCAGTTTCTCCATTCGGGCCCTTTGAAGGTCCATTGAAGATCATTGATATTCGATCAATTCGCTTTGATAGTCAATATTTATTTTTTTATTAATTAAAAACTTTTTCGAGCAAAAGTTAGCACCCCATTTTTTATTTTTCCATTGAAGGTCAAAACAAACCTCGTCATTGGATTGAAAATTGTTTGTAGGTCATATATAATCCATTGTCATTAGTCTATCAATCATCATTTATGTAATATCAATTAATTAAAGAATATTATTCTGACGGACGAGTGCGCATGCGCATGACCACTGCTCCGCGTCATATTTTAGCAATGGTAAACAACTGTGAGCTTCTGCTCCATTTTTCGGAGCATTGGCTGTGCTTTTAATGTTCTGTTCAGTGTTGTGAGCAAATAATTCCAAAATGGATAAAAACGGCTTCTGCAACAATTAAGGCGAAATATTATTTCTCGCGTTTTCATCTATAATCAGTTATGCTCCGAAATCGTTGGATTTCC